AGCGCGCGCGCGCGCCATTTCGCGCTCCCGCTGGAACGCTCGGCGCTGCGTTCTGATTGGACCTCCGTCTCCGCTTTTAGATCCCGCCGCTTCCTGCGTTCCTCTCCGGCGCGCGTATATATGTTCGTAAACTGACCTTGCCGGAGGAAGTGTAATTATTATTACTGATTGCACTGGCGCGCGGCGGCGGCGGCGGCAGCGCAACGCATCGCGATGGCGCGACCGCGCTCGGAACTCCACACGTTCTCCGGCTGCGCCGCAACGGAGATTGCATCTGCGCGCCCGTTATTTTCCGTTCTTTTTTTATCTCCCTCTCTCCCCTCTCTCTGTCTCTCTTTTCCGCCCTCATCGCGTTCCGCCCTCGATCGGCGATTACGCCTGTCGCCCGCGAGCGACGTTTTTCCGGCGAGTTTCACACATCCTCCTCCTCCTCCTCTCACTCCGCCGCCGGTGTCTATTGTTAAACTCCACGTTATCGATATAACCGTGCTTTAATGATTATACATGCTATGATTATACACGTGAGGACAAATGGGGGAATTAAGTTAACAACGTGTGCACGTGTGTGATTAAAGCTCGCGCGGTTAATAAACGCAATTAGTCTTTGAATATAACGCTTCTTCTTCCTCCGCATCCGTCCATCAGGGTATTAGAGATCTGTGACTGCGACAATTTTACGCCTTTTCCGTTTTATTTTCTGAAGGGCCGCGGCGCAAGCATGCGTTTCGCATCGTTCGAGCATGTATTCCGCAAAAAAAAAAAAAAAAAAACGTTTCTGTTCGCCGCCGTTGTTACCGCTCCAAACATCCTCGCGAAGAAACCATTGTTTCAGGAAGCATTAAGCATCGGGTCGTTAGACCCGAATGAGACCGATGACGGTCATCTCCCCGTCCGGGCTCGCGGCAATCGAAAATCGAATTGCCCGATCGACCGGCGGTGACCGGATACGCACGTGCGTACCGTATCCCCGGGACACCACCGTGGCCTCCTTGTCCGTCCGTCCGTCCGCGCATCCTGCGGTCATTCTGACGACGGTCGTCCTAATGGATCCTGTCCCAGAGGGTCGCGTGGCGGCGACGCCGAGTACTTCACGACATTGCGTGCGACTATTTACGAGTGACCGTTGCGCCCTGCTCTCGCACATCTCCCGGCACGGCGCACGCATCGCTGCGCCGCGATACTAACCGCCGCGCCGGCCCGTTTTAATGCTCCTCACGGCGACACTCATCGCGACGATCTCTCGGGTTTGCGCCTCGCCCAGTCGGAGAACGTCCGTCCAATCGCATCCCCGTTTAACGAGAAGGAAAGACCGTATCGCAAGCAAGATCTGTTATCCTATGCAGATTGATTGCATTTATCAGGGGATTAATAAAATTATAATTAAGTACTCTCTAAATATGAATCAGTGGATAGTCACTGGTTATCAGTGGTTATTTATTGAATGCGTAAATCAAATATGTCACTGGTAATCAGTGAAATTCAACTTCATTGTCTCTTGGAAATCACATGGAAAGAACGATTTTGTTGAAAGACCTAAAAATTTTGCTAAAAACTGATCTGAAAATAATTTTTTATTGAATCACCAAAATAATTTGTTGGAATGTTAAAACTAATAAGTATTGCTATAAAACGTTTTGATATTCTAGCAATCATTTTGACTTTCGCACAAAATAATTTTGATTATTGACAAAAATTATTTTCAGATCTGAATTCAGCAAAATTGTTCTTTCCGTGCACTAATAAATAAGTGAAATAACTAACACTAATGAATAATCATTGACAAATCAGTGGACTTCGCTGTTCTCGCTAATTGCACAGTGGATTCAGCTCTGTTTCACTTATTTATTAGCAAGGCAAGGTGTTACTGTCTCAATCAGTGACTTTTCCACTGATTCAAATTTAGAGAGTACATAATTTATAATTATAACAGTGAGATGCAGATTGAGTTGAGACAATCTAATTACGTATTAATAATTAAAAAAAAATAGTTAGATTTCTTTCTTGAGAGAGGACAGAATTAATGTTAAAATGTTAAGTATAAGCTTTTATCGATATGAATTTCCGAGGAAGAAACGAGTAATGAGAAAAGTTTCGCCTTAAATTTGAGTAGCAATTGAAAGGCAGAAATGATTCGTCACCATATCATACGAAAAGTGAAATCTGTCAAATGCGAAAAGGTAGACGCGAGCAAATATCGTTAAGTATTCATTTACAGATTGAGGGGGGTTTTTTTGTTAAATTGAAACGGAGCTGAAAATGATTTCGTACAAAGGTTGCAGCTATATAGACGCGATATTCCATATCTGAAACAAAATACTTAAACGAGAAGGATTTCGTGTATTTTTTTGCCACGCTCTACTTAAATATTTTATATCTTAAGATAAGCCTCATGCGCAGGCCTTCTCTTCCTGTTGCCTCACTCGTACTCGACCGTAATTTTTATTTCATTACACGACGTAGAGTAATTTTACGCGTCAGTGTAGATAAAGCCCCGCTAAAATGGGCCGAATTTTTCGTCGAAAACGTATGTATATATATATATATATATATATAAGCGCCGTACATATATACGGCGCTTCTCCTCCTTTCGCTCGCGGGAACCCAAGGACTATCGATGTCCGAACAACTTAAGCGCGCAAAACGGATTAACGGTGGGCCCGGGGAAACGGCGGCGGTGGCGGCGATACGTACGTGACAGGATGTGAGCGACACTTCCTTTTAAACCCTATAATACACACCGTCGATCTGTTACAGTTCCATACACCTGCTTTGCCTCCTGCTTAATATGCGCGCCATAATTAGAACATACGAGACCACACCGTCGTGTTAAATAATAAACCGGTCGCGTTTAACGTCGCCGTGACTTCGACATGCGAGTGCGAAACAAAGCGCCGCGCGCTCTCCGATCTGTTCGCACTGTATTAATAACATCCATGATGCAATGTACAGCGCTGAAACAACAAGTCTGTGTCTTAAGGGTAGAGCAGCTCGCATCTTTTTGAAATCACAAATAACTCATTTGATAGGTAAATTAAATTAAAATCATTTTACTAGAAATAAAAATTATATTTGTACATATAAATAAATATAGACAGATAGATAAATTTACAAGAATCAATCAAGTCGCAAGACTTATATACACATTAAATAATAAATAGTTTTACTCTTTTTTTTATTTCTTTCCACTTCTCCGGTACCTATAAAAATTGGTAACGTAAAATTTGGCAATCGCGACTTCAGTTTATCTAACTGGAGTAAATTTATCGATTTATTATATTATATTATTATGATGAAAAAAAAACGTTGATATCGATCATCGAGTTTACATAGAAACGTCGGTCAAATTTATATCTTTGACAGTAATCGCCTTAATTATCGCTGGCCGAGAAACATAAATTTGCGTTACGGTAAAAACTGTCCGTCGCCCTTTTCAGTTGCCCCTCGCCGACGTCATCGTCACTTTAATCTTTCATAAAAATCTGCAAACTGCAACCACAACGTTACAGCGTATAATATGACAAATCTGATAACGCCGGCTCGGTTTGTTACGGCTGACTTTAATGACTTTTAATCCGGGCAGTCGATGCGCGAGCGATGTAACGCACCGCGTGATGTAAAACTGAAATTTATGTGATTCGAGCAGTGCGGCGTACCTGATTGCCGACCGGACATACCATGAAACACCGGAAACACATCTTTGCTCTTATCGAGAGCCACTATATTAATTCCGTCGTTGTCCTTTTCCGCCGGTCGTATAATCTCCAATCGGGATCAGCAATCGCCTATGCAAATCGCCGTTGAATATCCCTCTTGCGTAAATTGACTATCCGTTTTGTCGTATATTCTCCTCTTTCTTTTCACAAGATATATTTTTTTTAATTATCTTTTGCAAAATTGAAAATAGGGGCAAAAATATTGTAATCGCGTTCAAGTTTTTATGTTGTGTACATATTTCCGTCATATATGCCTCTGTTTCTTTCCCCCCCTCAAAATAAGCTCTGCAGATATGCTTTATAATGCAACAATCAAATGGAATAAGCATTCATTGAGTGACTCGTGTAACTCAGAGACAGACGTTCAGGGAATGCGAGAAAGCGGCGTCTCGTAAAAATCGTAAAAATTGCGTCGTAAGTTCTCAGCTAGCGACTAGAAACTGCAGTCTATCGCAGTTCCGTGAAATAAAGAAATCGCAAAGATGATTGTGGTTGCGAGCGATTGCCTCGTTTTCGCATTCGTGTGCCGAGGGATGATGACGAGACGCCCGCGCTTAAGCCCCTCTAATCACTCCCGTGATTTGCGGTCGATGTGATAAAAAAAGGGGGGGGGGTACGGGAGACCGGGTGGGCATCTTATTAAGATTCACAAAACGAGTACGTCGCGAGACGCTGCTTGATTGAAATTTAATTGCACCGTCGAAATTATCCTCTTTCTCCACGTGCACATTTTCGACGACGTTTCCTCGACGGTTTTTATGCCCGGCGTTGTATATTATGCGAGTTAATGCCGCTTTTTTTTCCATACGGGAGCGACATTTTTTTGCACCTTCGCCGTTTCGTGCCTCGAAACATTGCCGGGGAACATTAGAAATCAACTCGATTGAAGGTCTCAGTGTAATTAAAAGTGCAAGGAATGCGTATTATATACAAATAAATAGGCACACATTAAATACAAATTATAAATCATGATAAATTATACATCTATTCAACAAGAAATAACATATCTATAGATTACTAGATACATTAATTACTAGAATCAATTAAATCGAAGGAAAATCAGTTTAATTGCATACGCTATAATTCAAAGAGAAAGAAAAAAAGAATGAGAGATACCTACATTTTATTTTGAAAAAAACAAAGGAGAAGGAAAGAGAGAGTCTCGCAAATTAAATACAAGTATAGAGATTATAATAACGAGTGCTTCGACAAACGAGTGATTTTTATTGCACTTGACTTTCCGATTGCCGAGCTCGTGTCTTTATAATGTATCTTACTCTGTTACAGTGGTGATGCACAAGGATAAGGAGGAGAATTCGCACCACGACTCGCATTACAGGGCGAGAGAGCTGGCAGCGCTCGCTGCTTACGACCATCATCACCTCGACGGCGAAATGTTCCTACAGGTGAGTACTCGTCGAGTACGTGCTTATTACACGTTATAGAACAGCCCGTATTTACGACCTCATTTGGACGCGTCAAATTTAAAAAATGCACATCAGCTTGGCGCGCGCTCGTATTTATCGCATGCCACGGTGAGGGGACACCTGCTTCCTCTTCACTTGTCGATCGATCGTCTCAATTCGCTAACCGCGCGACGGAGAAATCCATCGTCGCGAACGAGATCTTGCGTCCCTGATTCGCATCTCGAGAAGTGACGAGTCGCGAAACATTCGACCGATCTGCGATGCGATGTGCCCTTGGTAACGGAAGTGCGCATCTCAAGTTATGGTCTGATGGCTTTTGTCAGCAGTACAAATGTTTTGCGCGTATACATTTATACGTACGTTTTAATTCTTTACGATTAACGATCGCGAGCAGGGGCTACACCCAGTCTGCATAAAAGAAATATTGTGTATGTGATATATAATAGAAATTATGTCGGTACTCATAACGCAATTCTACTTTTCGAAATTTTCGCAAATTATTAATTCGATAAATAAATCGTTATACGATTAACACTGATCGAAAGGATTCGGCACTCAATATATAGGCATTGGAATTAGATAATATTTAATAGACTATATATAAATAGTCTAAATAGTCTAATAATATTTAATTGTTATATTTCTTCTCTTTATATATTTTTGTTAAAAAAAATTCTGATTACATTTTCCTTTTTAATTTGCGTTAAATTTTAATCTATTTCTCTAACGCGTTCGCCAACGATGTTTATCTCCTAAAAACACTTATGCAAGAGGTCATTACGTCAATTCACGTAAATGGAGAGAGAGAGAGAGAAAAAAAAGATCGCCGTTCGAGTTATTGATTCTAATCGTTAAGGACCAATCAACCGCGATATGATAAGTCAGCGACTACAAACGATCGACTCCATTTCGAGCGGCGATATTATCTGCGCGATACATTCACCTGCCATAAGCACCGTCTACGATTCACGATTGATCGACGGTCGGTGGTGTGAGTGCATGCGAACAGATGGAGAGATGAATGAGCAGGCAGGAAAAGAGAAACGGGCGTGCTACCGAATGACGACCCGTGATTGGAACTGTCCGTCAGGAAAGCGATACGATTCGACGTCACGTTTGAAGGGAATTGCGAACGAGGGGAGGGCCAGGGAGTTTCGTATATTATTTCGATGGAGTAAAGCGTACGTAAGTGAAGCGAGGCGATACGACGAAAGTAGATACATTTTTTTTTATCAATCTCGCATATAACAGTCTATTATATCAGATGAGACGACTCGTGGATTCGTTGCAATAAACGAGAAATCTTGTTTTCTTGCTCGAAAATGAACAACGAAATTAGTGTTAATATAATGATAAACGATCCATGTCGTAAATTAACATTGAAGAAATAAAATTTAGCTCTATTAATATGCGAATTGAAAACAATAAGAAACATATTAATTACATATTATTTTTAATTAATTATATTGATTCTTATTTTTCTTTTTCGATTTTACTTCTACAGAGCCATTTTTAAATTAAGTTTCCGTTATCTAACATACCTTTCTCTCGGAAGTAAATATAATTTTTATTAAGACATCGCAACATTATAATTACTTTGTCAAACGCAACGATATTTTAATATTTTATTTAAAATGAAGGAAGGAATTCTTAATTTTTTGTGTAAGTCTGAATTTATTCCTTTACAAAATGCCACTGAGTTATATTCGCGTACCATTTTTAAATTGATAAACGAATTGATTCGTATATATAATATAGAAGTCTCAAGTCGCGTCGTAGCGGAGCGCGCGCCAAAATTAAATCATCGGTAGTGAGAGGAAGAGACAGGGAGAAGCGAGAAAGCGGGAGGTGGCCGGGGAAGGGAGAAAGGAAGAGAGAATGAGCAGGGAGAGATATCCGGGCTGATGAACCGGCTATGAAACCGAGGCGTACGAGGTGTCTATTCCTCCAAAGTATGGAAGGGTATATACACGGATTAATGGCCGTGTATCATGCAAGGCTATTACGTTCCCTTTCTTGCGTTTTAGGTGTGCGCACCGCGAGGGCGAGGGAGCGAGTCTGCGGATACGAGAGAGAGAAAAAGGGGAAGGGGGACAAACAGCGTGAGAGAAAGAGGGGGGGGGAGTGGTGATGGAGAGAAGAGCAAGGGGAGAAAGAGAGAGGAAGAGGGAAAGCAGAGAGGAGGACCAGAATAAAGATCCAGCGGGGGGGGGGGGAGGGGTGCGGCAGAATATTATACTTTATACACGTGCGAACTGTGTACGCGTGCGATTTCATGCGCGAGTAGCGCCGACGTGCATCGCCTATACGATCGAACGGTCCCTATACCAGCATCTATAACGACGGGCTATTAATTGTCGGCTCGTTAATTGCGTTACGTATGCCCTTGTACGCCCGGAGCTAATCCTCGAACGGGCCTCCGCCGACGACACGAGACGCGCACTCGAGTCGCGAAACGATGAGGCGACGTTGAACTACTTGCATCGCGAAGCGCCGTCTGCTATCGTCTTTACGAGCGAATCGAGAAAATTTATCGCAGTTTTGTTATTGTGCTTCTCTTTGTGTCACTCGCATCACTACATACACACTGCAGTGTCTTGTCAAAATGATATTATAAAATTATCCGTAACTTCTTTCGTATGAGAAAATTTTGTGTATTAAGGAATTAAATTAAAAAAGATAATATAGTTTAAATAAGTATTTATTTTAAAATAATATTTATTATTATTTCTAAGTGAATTATAAGTTATAAAGACGTATATAAAAAAAAATTATAAAATAATTGCGGATTATCAAATCGCAAAGTTTCGAAGGGGCGCTAACTTTTCTGACAAATGTATAACTATAATTATAGACAACTTCACGTAACGTAACGACTTCGCATCAGTATCTGTGTACAGGTTTATGATACATCGTACTATTTTAAGACCACATAAATGAGTATTTTTTTTCCTTTTTTTTTTAAGACAATCTAGTTCGAAAGACTACAATTTAGTGCAACTTGGTGACTACATCACGAGGTAATATCGAATAAATCAACAACGCGCGAGCGTTGTATCCTCCAGACACACGGTATCGATTTATGAAAATGGCGATGCAATCAGGTCGCGCTTGATTTTCTTGATCGGGGCTCGGCCTCAAGCCCGGTTCGTGTTCCTTGAACCTGGATACCAGTTTCCGGGTAATCCACCTCTCACGCCATACCTCGGCTCGTATATATAGGTATCAATAACATATTTATACAATTCGCACGGTTCCGTGAACCCGACTTTCCAGGACCTCCCTTCTGCCCTGCCCTGCGCCGCGCCGCCGCCGTCTCTTCGCTCCTTCTCTCCGACCACCCTCGACTCCCTCCCGACAAGCAGCGCCGTCGCTCCTTTCCACGCGCCATATACCGTTTCGCCGATCCTCATAAACTTTACGAACCCCGACGGTAAATCCGGTTTATGACAAGCCGGCCGCCACCACCACCACCACCGGAGGTATCCACGAAATTACGGCTAAGCGCGATTGGATTTTTATACCCCTTCTCAATTATACCGTGAATCGCGACTGGACGGTGTATATCGCGGAGGTGAGAGAGCGATTGAGGGAACGACTCGTTTAGACGCGGCACGACGTCTCCCTCGTCCTGTCTCGCGGAGAGGAATTCACGTCTATCGAGTTACACGGCATCAAATCAGCGCCCGCCGTGCATAGATCACATCGCATTCACGCTGCGTTTTCCATACCTCCGGCTCTCACCCGTCCTCCCGTAGGCGCCGAAGAGAGGTCTCTCTCGTGCGGTGTGAGAGAACGGTTGCTAATAGAAACTTGCTCTTAGCCGTTTACGAAAGTTAAACTCTTGAGATAATCTCATTCCAGCAACTTTTGATAACTTCCCAAGGAGAGATAAAGAAATAAAAAATGTTCTCCTTAGATCTTCATTATTCATACATGGAAAAAACAATTTTGCTGAATCTAGATCTGGAAGTAATTTTTGTTCAATAATTAAAATAATTTTGTGCGAAAGTCAAAGTGATTGCTAGAATATCAAAATGTTTATAGCAATGCTTATCAGTTTTAACATTCCAACAAATTATTTTGACGATTCAACAAAAAATTATTTTCAGATCTGTCATCTGTTTTTAGCAAAATTTTTAGATCTTTCAACAAAATCATTCTTTCCGGGTATATTATGTTTGAGACAGAAATATCATCACGAATGTGCTAAATTAAAGTAATTGTGGAACTGTCCCTAAAGCTGAAATTACTTAATAACAAACTAAATAAAATTATTTAACATTAAATTACTTCAGTTAGTATACGGAAAGAATGATTTTGCTAAAAGGTCTAAAAATTTTGCTAAATACAGATCTGAAAATAATTTTTGTTGAATCATCAAAATAATTTTGTTGGAAAGTTAAAAATTATAAGCATTTTTAACTGTCCAACAAAATTATTTTAATATTCTAGCAATCAGATCGGAAGAGCACACGTCTGAACTCCAGT